AAAAAAGAAGATAGTTTCTCTGTCCATGCTCTTTAACCAACAATATCAGTACTGTGTATATACACCAAGAATGTCAAGCAGAAAAATAAAAATATAACACATACTAAAATATGAATAGCAGCATTTTTTGAAGCAACAAAAAAAGGATACATATTAGAGAGTGATTTATTGCACAATGGTATACAAATGTATATGAATATTATTGTGAACTAAGAAATTATGAGTTTAATAAATTCAGAGAAACATGGAAAGTTTTATTAGCAGATGCCAAGTGAAATACATAGAACCAAGATATTACTATATAGAACAATTATAAAAATGTATAGGAAATCAAATCTGAGTAATTGAAAAACCAACTAGGTATCTGTAGAACACCTAATAAAGCATTACTCAATACTCATGGCAGAAAAGAGGGACTACTAAAACAGCAGTTTGTATACATGCTAAGGTATAGACACAATATTTGTATATTTTTGCTTGTTTTTCATTGTTACAACGCAGTGGTCACTCTGTTATGCAGAATGAGGGAAGAACTCCCTTTCTGTCTTTTTTTCCCCCAAAATGATTGTGATATAAAAACAAAGGGCATCAATAAAATGATGTGTGGGACAGAGACTACCTGCCCAAATCTAAATCAGAGTCGTGACCAGAGTCTTGCAAAAAAGAAAGTTATTTTATTAGCTTTCTTGAGAAAGGACATTCCCATGTTGCCCAGGATGGTGTCAACCAAAGAGTCTGAGTGCTCTTTGTTTAAAGCAAGGATATATAGACCCTAATGCAGCAGCTCACCCTAACATCCTTCCCATCAGCTCATTGGGGGAGCCTCAGGGGTACAATTTATGCACGTAAATCTACCCCCAGCAACAGAGAGGACAAAGAGGTATAGAAATTATGTTAGTATGTTCCCCTTTTCAGGGCCTCACAGTTTCGGCAGTCTTTTACCCAAGGTTATATAACTGGCTAGAGGATGAGACAGACAGGATCTTCTTACAGGCTCAGAATTTCTGCTAACACTATCTAAGAGTAGGAGAGGGAGAAGGAAAGGGGAGGGGTTCTTGTGTTCTGAGGGATTTTATGTTCTGAGGGGTCTTCACTTAGTGCTGGTACGCATGTACCACTCAATGATTTTTTAAAAAGTGGAATGAATTGCTTCAGTAATTAATTGTAGAAGACCACAGATGAGTAGGACTCTGACCTTGATGGCTGTATAAGCCCTCTCAGGTGAGGAGCTTGCTCCTTGGCCTGGATTGGTTCTCCACTCCCCAGAAAGAAGGGCAGCTAGGCAAGCTCAACCATAAACGATGTTGCTAGCTCAAGCACAGCTAGCTCTAGCACAAACATGTATCCAGTATTGCTAGCTCATGTATCAAGTATTGAGACATTCCAGGAACAAGAAGTACAGCCCGGGAGAAGGACACAGCCAGGATAATGTTGCAAAGAGATGTGCTTGTTAATACTTTGATTGGTATTCGTATGAGAACGGTGTTGCGTGTTGGTAAAGATATGTAAACTCTGTTGCTTTGTCTGCTGTTATATTGGGGTATGTTCCCATGAGTCAAAGATACAAAACTGCTGGCTGTGCTCTAATAAAGTTGACTCCTTTTTCCATCACGCTTGGAGTTCCGTCTCTTTCATATTTGCTTCGCAGTCTCCTGTCAAGAACCCTTTCAAAAACTCTTTCGCAGACTTCGCTGCTGGTCAGCGGAGCTGCCCCAACTCACAATTAATGAGTTATTCCTCAGTAGAAGTTTTCAAGCAATGATTAAATTATCCCTTCAATTGAATTAAGGGAAAAAAAATTAAGTGCCTGCTACACATAAAACAGTGTCCTAGACCTTGGGAATCAAAAGAAAATATACAAACATTTCTACCACAAAGGAGAGGAGGAGGCAAATCAGCCAGCTCCCGCATACCTGCTCCAGCAAAACCCTGAAGTTTATGTAAGACAGAATGATGAACTATCTTCTTCTGAGTATAAAGCCAGTTCTTCTCCATCACCATAGTAGCTATCTATGGTCAGGTTCCTTCTCATCTTATTCATTGTTATTATTATAATTATCATTATTATTTTTAGCAGTTTATTTTTATAGTTAAGTTCTACTCCCAAGATATGTGGGATGATGCCTCAGGCTTCAGATTTTATGTTCTGTTGTTTTCTAAGCTGTGTGGGAGTCTGGCCTTGACCTTGGGCACTTCTCTCCAGCCTGAGCTGTGGCTAGGGCCCCAGCCATACATTCACTGCAAACAGTGCAGCTCTCTGTGGTCCCTCCCATGGCTACATGGAAACCAAAACCAGGAACTCCTCTCTCCTGCATGTGCCCACAGCCAGCAGGGTCCCCACCCCTCTGCTATCACACTCACCTGGCATATGCTTGTTTCTCCTTGCCCACAGCCACAGCCCACACTGCCTCTGGTCAGTGTATCTGTGCCTGGCATCCAGTAACTGGGAAGGATCCTTCAATTTGAGGTGAGCATTCCTGAAGCTGAGGCTGCCACCTCCCCTCAGAGCTTGTTGTTTGTTGATTCAGCAGTCTGCACCTCAATCAGGCCAAAACTGGGTCCCTGGAGGTTAGGTCATGGGGTTTTCCCCTATTTTAGGAGGACAAATGTTTTACCCTAACTTTTAATTTATTTCTGTTGCTCAAAATTCCCTTTGGGGCAATATTTTTATCATGTTTATGGTCCAGTGTTTCCCATCTCACTCTGCCATTTTCGCAGAATCCTCAAGTTAAAAGATTTTTAAAATAAAAGCTCTGGAAGGAAAAAAAAATTAAAACAGTAAGTAGCTTAGAAAAGCTCAAGATCTAAACAAAAGAACTGAGTAGGAACTTTGTGATATAAACACAAGAGTTTGAAGAAACCTAGAAAGGCAAATTTATTTTATCAGTTAGAAGGAATTGTAGGATGATATAATGTTAACACTCCAATAGGAGAAGAAGAAACAAATATCCCTTCAGAACTTTAATGTCTCCAGAGGGTATTGAGAAAATTGAATAAGAATAACAGAGGCCCTTGGGGTGAATTGGTTTTGTTCTGAAGGTTTGAAGAGGGGAAAGGGAAAGGAAGGCTTCTTCTGGCTTTCTAACTTGAGTCTACTACCTAACAGACTGGGGATATGCATGGGCTAGACTTGTTGTCATGTAGGCAGCTAATCAAAGGAATATACTAGTGTACAAAGAAGGAAGAAAGGGTAGACATTGCTATTTCTAATAATCAGAGGGCAAGAAATGCATACCATACTTCCAGATTTATGAAAGAATGGGCTTCAGATGGGGGCGAGAGATGGGGAGTGGGCATCAAATGACTTCAGTCTTATTTGAAATGGACAAAGGAGGGTTGAATACACAAACACACATGAATACACACGTACACACAATTTGGTATAGAAATGTCATATGCAACAGGTAAACAAATGGGGTTGGGGGAAGAAAGGGAATAATACTAGGGAGGTAAAGGTCACAAGCAAAACAGAATTCCTGATCCTGAAGAGGAGTAAAAGGGGGAAAAAGAACTAAAATCTAAGAGGGTATCTTAGATTGCCTTTTAAACAATTAAGGAATGATTGAACAAATTGTGGCATGTGATATAGAGGATTTTTTTTTTGCCCTGTAAGAAATGACAAGAGATGATTTCAGAGAATGCTAGATAACATGAACTGATGAAGAAATAGTAAGAATAATTTATACAAGAAAAAAATTATAAAGAAAAACTTAAAAGGCTTAAGAACCCAGATCAATGCAATGACCAACTATGTCTCCAGAGGAACTATCATGAAACATCTCAAGTACTGCAGGAAAGTGAGATATCTGATGGACAGAAAGTATTAAAAAAAATGCATTTTTGGACATGGCCACTGCATGGATTCATTTTGCTTGATTATATGAATTTATAACAGGACTTTTTTTTTAAAATAGTCTAGAAGGGGGCAGCTAGGTGGCACAGTGGATAGAGCACCGGCACTGAAGTCAGGAGTACCTGAGTTCAAATCTGGCCTCAGACCAAACACTTGACACTTACTAGCTGTGTGACCCTGGGCAAGTCACTTAACCCCAACTGCCTAAAACAAACAAACAAATAAAATAGTCTAGAAGAAGGAATAAGAAGCAGAGCATGGATAGTAAAACATGGACCTAATGACACAGGATAGGCACATGAGGGAGACTGAACTGATAAGATTTGGCAATTCACAGGATATGGAAGATGAGAGATAGTTGTGGGAAATGCTGCAGAAGACTTATTGGTCAGGCAGCAGTTGGGTTGGATAGTCTGCCATATAGCTTATAACTGGTAGGTTTCCGAGAAGACAGAATGCTTCAATGGCTTAGGGTAGCAGCTTTGGACTTAGTTTGACCATTCACATAAGATCATAGACTTAGGAAAGGACCTCTGAGGTCATCTAGTGCACCCCCTCAATTTACAGTTGTGGAAACTGAGATACAAGAAGTTAAGTAATGTCCAAGGTCATACAGGTTGTAATTAATAGAGGCAGGACTGCGACCCAGGCCCTTTGACTCCCAATCTAGCTCTCTTTCCCAGACTCATGTTCTCAGTTGCCTCTGTTTTTCAAAAAAGTAATGGGCTAGAGCAGAAGTGTCAGAGTCGTGGCCCTCTGGTGTCATACAGCCACAACACTCCTGATTGCAGCCGAACCAGATTAAAATGCAATTGGGAAATATTTAACAAAATAAGAAACAATAAAACATAGATGATACCACGTTTTAAAATGAATTCAATATGCCACCTGTCTGGGATCTTTACGTGTGGACTGGTGGGCCCCGGTTCTATTTGAGTTTGACACCCTTGGGCTGGAAGATGAATTTCCAAGGTCTTTTCTAGAAGAAACGCCTTGAAGGCATAGTCTGTTTCAATTTCTTGTTTGTATTTACAGAGCTCGGCACTGGGCTTGCAACAGAAAATGCTTTTATATCTGAATGTTTTTAAATGTTTTTAAGATTGAATTCAATTCCGATATTTTTTTCTATTTCCGTAATTCCACCAATAACAAGATCCAGGATGGCAGCCAACAGGAAGTCAGTTCCTCTAGAACAGCCCTCTTTGGCAGAGGACTTTGACCAAGATAGAACTCGGAGAACAGGAAGTTCCTCTCGAGCAGCCTCTTGGGTAATGCAGTTTCCTCCAGCTTACAGCGAAGATGGCTCCCAAGAGGAAGTTCCTCTCGAAGAGCTTTCTGGGTAATGTAGTTCCATCGCGACAACAGCCAAGATGGCGGCCCCGCGGAGTTTCCCGTTAAGGGAACTCAAGCGTTACATTAACCTAGGTAAGGGAGGAGGAGCGCTTTTCGTTGAGAGAGACTTCGGGAAACCAGACATGGGGCTGAAGGACAAAAGCTGTAAAAGGCGTTGTGAATGAATAAGAGAGAGTCTATGAGGCGAGTATACGCAGGGCCAGATCTGAGGCCAGAGGCCCTGGGGTTGAAGGCCGACTGTGCCACCGTCTCCCCGTGTGACCTCGGGAAGGCCCCATAGCTTCTGCGACCTCCGTTTTCTCATAGGTATAAAGAGAGGTGGGGGAGGGGCGTCTAAATGATTGCTTGTGTTTCTCCTCCCTCTAAAGAGGGAGCCAGTTGCCTAGGATACCGGTGGCGGAAGTGGGCGGTGCCCTGATCACGTGTGCAGTGCTTGTTTCTGCTTGTCCCATCCTCCTAAGGGACCCATAACCGGAAGAGGGTGTGTCCTGCAAGCTGGATGGTACGGAAGGTCTTAGGAGGTCGTCTTACGAGGTTGTACCGGTTTCGATTCTTCATATATATATATATATATATATATATATATATATATATATATATATATATATCTGTATATGCTCTTTTTCGCTTGGAGAAACCCTCCAAGTTATTCTTAAAAACTTGAAAACAAAAACTGCGTTATAAGCGCATTGCAGCTCGGTTCTAGATGCTGATTTTGACATTTCTTGTGTGACCTTCATTTGATCTCCCAGAGCCGCAGTTTCCTCATCAGTAAAATGGAAGGCTTGCACCAGAGGGCCTCCATGGAGCCTAGTAAGGCCTAAATCTGGGATCCCACGAACTTCCATCCAAGACATTCTCAAGCCATCAGTCTATCATCTCAGTCTGTACTTTTTAGTGAATCCACTGCCCCTGGCTGTGGGCCCCTTCTGCCCCATGAAAACGATATGCAGAAGCACAGGAAAGTTACAAGTCAAGTGTCTGACACTTCTGTACCCTGCGGTGGGAGCTAGTTTGCCTGGTTGCAGTAGTTTGAGTTGTACAAAAAGCCTTGACCAGGTGATAGAAATGAATGGATCACTTTTTTTCAGCCAGAAATTTTGCCCTTTCTAAAATATCTTGAATAATTTTCCCCAACCTCTAGTAGGGTTGATTCAAAAATAAAATGAGGCAATGATTAGGCAATCTAGAGTAATGGATAGAGAGCAGGCCTTGAAGTCAAAAAGACCCAGGTTCAAATGCTGCCTTTGATTCATAATTGGCTGACAGGTTGTTTAATGTATCAGTGTCCCCAGAAACTCAGGGACTGTAAGTTGTGTATGAGGTGCCAACCTTCATTAGTAGAGGAAGCTTCCTTACCATTCAGCAGGCTTACGAAATCACATGTCTAGGTAATACCTCCAACTACAAAGATTAGGGAACACACTTGAAAAAGCAAAGTAGTATAAATATATTTTAGGCAACTAGTTGGTGCAGTGTAAAGAGAGCTGGCCCTGGAGTCAGGAAGACCTAAGTTCAAATTCAGCCAAGTCGCATAACCTTCATCTACCTCAGTTTTCTCATCTGTAAAATGAGGATAATAATAGCACCTACCTCCCAGGGTTGTTGTGGAGATAAAATAATTTGCTGTTTATAAAGTGCTTTACCAACTTTAAAGCATTATATAAATACTGGTTGTTATTATAGATATCTAAGAAATGAACATCTTCAGAGTAGCTTTTGGGATTTCACAGCTTTCTGGATTCCATTATCCAACATAGAAAAAGGCAATTTTGAGGTGTTTTTTTTCCTTTTTGAACCTTTAGCTAATACTATCAAGAATACTAATTTACTAACACACTGAGCAGGTAGGTGATGCAATGGATAGAGTGCCAGACCTGAAGTCAGGAATACTCATCTTTCTGAGTTCAAATCTGACCTCAGACACTTACTGGCTGTATGACCCTGGGCAAGTCAGTTAACCCTGTTTGCCTCAGTTTCCTCATCTATAAAATGAGCTGGAGAAGAAGTGACAAACCACTCCAGTTTCTTTTCCAAGAAAAAAGAATTGGCCATGAGTGAAACAACTGAACAACAACAGCAAACACACTGAGCATTACTCTCCTCTGTATTTCTGGTTAGTGAATTTGGCAGATTCACAGTAGAAGTGAAAACATACACCATTTCTTTCTAGCTGGAAAACATCTCCCATCCTAGACTACTGGGTAAGACCTTCTTGACTCCAGAAAACTGCCGTGGGAGGACTGGGTTCACTCACAGGTCAAATGCTCATCATTTCGCATTTGAAAAAATCAGAAGAACTTCATTTTTGGCTTTTTAATTGTGAGACCTTTTTCTCATATTAATAGCTGTGTGCTTTTGGGTTAATCATTTAACCTTTCCGACCCTCAGTTTTCTTATCTGTAAATCAGAGATAATCTTGGCCTTACATACCTCACTAGCCTGTTAGAATCAAATGAGCTAAGAGAAGTGTAAATCATTTGAAAACTATGATGTACTGTACAAAAATTAGTTGTTATTAATTTAGTTAATTTTGAAGAATGACCAGGGACTCTTGAGCACCAGAGAATGTAGGATATCTTGCCTATTCCCTCCTAGTGAAATAATTCTTTACTATTGATTCTATGTAAACCTTTATGTCTCCTCCCTTGTCTGCTCTCCAACTCTATATTCTGTATCAGCCGTAGGTAACTGAACTGAATGGAAATATATGCTTGGAGCCTGGCTTCCTAGTTCACATGGGCAATATGCACATCTGAGAAGAATGAAGCATAGTATTCAAGGCAGCTGAGTTTAGGAATCTATGTCCTTTGATCCCTAGTTCCTCTGAATGAGTTTCAGTTTGTTAAGATTCTTTCTAAAATGCCCCAACAACAGAATACAGCACTACAGATATGATCATACTAGGACAGAGTACAGTGGGACTATCACCTGGATACATCATACCTATGTTAATACAGCCCCATGTCACATTAAAGTTTTTGGTTCTTAATATCACATTGATACTGATTCACATTGGGTTTGAAGTCCATGAAAAACTTAAGGACTTTTCATGTTATCTATTGTCCAACTATGGTAATCATTGAGGGAAGCATACTGGTGGGGGCTTGTGAGCTATTAGAAAGACACCCCCAACTCCTCAGGTTCCTATCCCCTAGTTAATTTTTCAAATCCAAGTGTTCTACTTTATGTTTATCCTTATTAGAAGGAGAAAAGGACATTCAGAAGGATGAATTGGGTGAGTATTCAGGATTTCAGTTGATTGCTATCTGTCTTGACCTATGTCTCTATGCTAAAAAGTTTTTGCCTCATTTTTCTTAGTGCTGACGAAAACTCACAGAATGATATAATTTTAGAGTTGGAAGGGGCCTGATCTAGACCAAGGCATATCCAACAAGAATGACCACTATAGCATACCTAACAAGTGGTTTTCCATCCTCTGCTGAAAACCTTTAAAAAAAAATGTCACAACTTTTTCTCACAACTTCCTCAGGTAGCTGATTCCCCTTTTGAGTAGCTTTAATTCTTAGGAATTTTTTTCCTTACATAAAAGGCATATTTTGTTCCTTTGGAACTTCTAACAGTTGTTTGTGGTTCTTCTTCTGGAAACGAGACAGAATAAGTTACTTCTTTCATATGACAGCTCTTTATATACTTGAAGACAGATGTCATGTGCCTTTGTAAACCTTCTCCAGGCTAAACTTCCTATTTCCTTCAACCAGTCTTCACATGCAAAAGACTGAAGGCCCTTTACCACCCTGGTTACTATCCTCTCGATGCTCTACAGCTTTTCAGTGTCCTTCTGAAAGTGTGGTACCCAAAACTGAATACAATGCTCTTGATATCACCTTTATTTCTTGCCAGACTATACTCTGTACTTCTCTACCATGCACCAGAAACCTCTTCATCCTGGAAGATCACTCCAGCCTTGGAATTCACACCTTGGAAGTATACTGACCCTTGTGACCTCCATCTCCAATTGGATGACTCCTGTTAGAACCTGCTAGATGCAGATTAGCCATGTCTTCATTTCTTGTCATTGTGCATTCTAGACTTCTTTACCGTGCTCAAACCCTGGATACTTTTACTGCCCCTCCTCCTGTACACCACTTCTCAGCTTCCTTTTATGTGTTGTAGGCTTCTTGAGGGCAGGGGCTGTCCCTCTTTTTGCTTGTTTTTGTGTTCCCAGTGCTTAGCACATGCCCGACATATAGTAAATATTTAATAAATGTTCATTGAACTAGGTCAGAGTACAAAAAGGAACTATGACCTCCTTATTCTTAGGAGCTTTGCCTTCGTTAATACAATCCAAGATTGCATTAACTTTTTTGGTTACTACATTATACTGCTGACTCATATTGAGCTTTCAGTTCATAATAACCTGCTTTTAATATTCCCCCAGGTAGAGGCGGTTGGAAAAGGGCCCATACTATATGTTTACATTCATACCTTTCCCCTAGCACCAAGTGTATGTTTACTTTTGGTTCAGGTCCTGCCTCAGTTACTACCTGTGTGTTGGCAGCTGTTTGCTTCCATATTTAGCTCTTATGTCCCTTCTTCCTGTATGCTCAGCTCTGGTATCTTCTACCCAAATCCTTTTTCTCAAAGGAATTTTATATATGAGAAAATTGGGGCTGAGAGTAGTCAAATGACCCTCCCAGTAAGATACTAGTAAATATCTCAGATGAGATTTAAAACCAGACCTTCCTTATGTAGATAGGCTGAAGTGGTTGGGGATTAGAAAATAGAGTGTTGTAGCATGGAAAGGCAGTGATTTTTGCTTAGGCAGATGACAGTTCAGTGTCACCAAAATTAGTAAAGGAAGATTATCTATAGGCAAAAAATGGCATCATGAAAAAATATAGGACATGTTGTATATATACTGTACTGGTAGCTACAAAATGTGAAAAAAAAGATTAGGGAAAAGCATCTATCATTTCATGGAAATCTCTGGATGATCAGTTGGAAAATATGAACAAGAACGATATGGAACGAAGTAAAGAGAAGGATGGATTGTAATCTCTACCAATGGAGATAATATTCATGTGGATAAGATCAATAAAGTATTTTAA